TCGCCTTATTTAGGGATCGAGTGGACAAAAGCTGTCTTCAATGAATTCGGGACTACGCCTTGGGAGTAGGAGTACCAGAAAAGACGCATTAGGACCGGTGCCAACTCCGGAGCACACGTCCTCAGCACAATTGGGGGAATTCCGTCAGGCGCACTCGTTTTCTGTATGTCCAGGGAGAGAAGTACTTTGTGAACCGAGTGCTGTGAGAACAGCACATTCGGCATGGAGCACTCACACCGCGGGATGGTCGGCGGTGTTTACCCCCGCGATCAAGAGTCGAGTTGGACGCAAAAAGGGAGCCTAAAAGGTCGGCTTTGTCTTTTGCGTCTTGGGCCAGTGAGTCGTCGTCCTTGTGCAGAGATGGTAGTGATGGCTTACAGAAATTCCCTTGGACAGCCTTGGCGAGAGACCAGAATGCACGGGTTCCCGAAGGAAGGCGAACTATATTCTCGCCAATTCTGCCTATGTGCTCTGACTTTGCCTTGGCAATAACTCTTTTGAAGGACCTGGAGGCGAAGTTATACTTCTTTTTAAGTATGCTGGTGTTTACATCCCGAGTCACCGAAGCCGCAGCACAGGCTTGATAACACTCCTGCTTACTGCGTAATGCAGTCTTACAGGAGCGACCAAACCAAGGCTGAGATCTGCCTCCGATGGGTGCCACAGATGATGGAATAAATAGTTCCATTCCCTATAGCACCACATCAGTGACAGAGTCAGCAACAGCGCTGGGATCATCCGGCGAAAAGCAAGCCCGCCCCTATGGGTAGGATGCAAAGAAAGACCGCATTCCGTCCCAATCCGCCGACCTGTAATGCCAAACACGGCGGCAACCTGCAGAACGCAACCGCGAGGGGAGCGTGAGTGGCACCACACTCCGGATCAGACAATGGTCCGAAGAGCCGAGAGGGGCATCGACGGAAACCTGATATCTGTCCGGATGAGAGGTCAGCAGAAGGTCCAATAGAGAAGGTGTATGATCCTCCACATCTGGAATCCGCGTAGGCGAAGTAACCAGTTGTGTCAGACCATATGCCAAAGCAAAGTCATAAATAGATCTCCCCGCATGATAGGTTAAATGCGAACCGAGCCATTCGGCGTGGTGGGCGTTAAAATCGCCAAGGATCACGATCTCTGCGGATGGGACCTACTGTAGCAAAGAATCTCTAGCCATTTGGACGTGGTCAATGAGTCGGTCTGTTTCGGCATTACCGCTATGGGACCTATAGAGGCACGCGTAGACGTGCGGATGGTCGTCGCTGTCTACGTGTAGCCATAAGATGGACAGGTCCGAACCTTCAAGACTGCCGAGGCGTCGAGAACAGATGTCCTCTCTGACATACACGCAAACCGAGCCCGAGGCACAAAGGAGTGCTCCAATTTGTACCCCGGGTAGGAGAGATACGAAATATCAGCCGGAGAGGAAACCTGCGTCTCGGTCAGAAAGAGCAAGGCCGGCTTCGCCGTCTCGAGATGGTAGTGGACGTCGTTTAGGTTCGAATGAAGTCCCCTGATGTTGCAGAAATTTACGGATAGCGTGGCAGGGGTCGCCTTGGTCTTGTTGCTAAGTTTGCCCCGCCTTGGTCTTGTTGCGAAGTTATATTTTTGAGCGGAATTTTGTCCCCCCCCCCCCCCCCCCCCTAGAATACGAGGGGCAGCCTAAACACCCACGCTCAGGAGTGGAATAACATGGTCATGGATGCTCAGCGAGGGATTCTCCAGGGGTGTTGGTACCCTTCTGGGGAAGTCTAACGTGTAATTCCGCTACCATCTTGATGGGGGGGGGGGGGGGATTGGTGCCACCTGCACTCACCAGATGAAACGCAGAAGCAGAACTTCTACTTCACACCGGTTTTCTGTGAGGTCGTGGTACCAACCCGGCTCGAGCCGGCCCATACGTGCAACAGCAAAAACTGCTGCGTGGCTCTACCACCGTGACGTATATTATTACGTATGTTATTGTTTGAGGGATTTTGTAATTTATTTATGTATTTTGGGTAGATATATAAGTTTGTTTATATACTCTTATATATGTATGTATATGTATATATTATTTGCTTTATTTTATCTTTTATTATGTATTAGTTATTTATATGTTATTTTATTGCATTTATTGTCTATATATCGCATGTATTGATATTATATTTTGTATAATTAATTATATTGCACCACCTACCTAGCATTCATTTTTTCTTCCTTTACACCCTTGGTTGCCTGGAAGAGATCGCTATGTAGCGATAAGGCCACCAAATTGTACATGTAATCTGTCTTTTGTTATGTAACTTGTATATTTGTTTGTGGTGTACAAAAAGTATATTCATTCATTCAGTAATTCATTCATTCATTCAATCAATTCTCGCGAAATAACATGGATTCCTATCAAGGATTATACGTGAGGCTATTGAAATTAAAAAAAACATCCTAATTTCAATAGAGAGAGAGGCTAGGTACTACCACCAGCTTGGGATCCTATAATTAATAAAATTGAAACTAAACCCAAGTATACCACTGCAAGACTTCAAGAGACAGTAAGTTCATTCTGCGTAGATCGGATCAAAATTAATAATTAAAAAGCTGAAGGTACTCCGGGTTAACTCTGACATCGGGACGTCAGTCACCTCAGTCCCCCGTGACCATGGTTGCTGGTAAGCAACCGAAACATCGGGAATATAAATTAAGTTAATTAAACGCGATAAAGTCCGTAAAATGTAGAGTCAAAATAATGTTTGTGAAAGGCCTTAGTGTAAAATAAAACAAGGAATTGTAGCGTAAAGTTATTTATTATTAAAATAATGGTGCACTGGTAGATAAATTAGATATACTACTGGATAAACTGAAATTATTTTTGTAAACATATATTTAACTAGCAATGAGTAAAGTACTTAAATTCATGAAATAGAGCTTTGTTTATTATTCAAGCTCTATTACAGTTTTTAAATAAGAATTAATCTACCGTTTAGCACAAACCTGCAATTTATCCTAGAGTTTTAAAATACAAACTAAGGCAAAATTTCCTTCGTATTTTTATGCGCCAAAGCTATTATTACAATTTAGACAACTGTCCGCCCCTATTACGCCTCTGTTTCTTTTTAGTCCATACATACACAACCGTTTGCTTGTTTTTCCATCACTGAAATGAAAGATCATTTCAGTATATGTAATATAATAAAATATATATAATATAAATGTTATAATGTAAGAACATTTCTCATTTAATAATCATATTGTTATTGATTTATTCTGTTTATGAAATAATTTATTGACTTTTATTTATTTAGGCTCTGTTTGCACACAAACGCCCACAAAATGGCGAACTTATTTTTTCCAGGTCGAGCAGAATATAATATAAGTAAAGAGACGGTGAAATGTGCAAAAGTTTATTATTAAGATAGCAATAGTTATTATTAAGGTAACAATAATTTATATTAAGATAATAGTTTGCTATATATTAATATACAGGGATTTTAATATATAACACAATAAATACACACAAGTTATATATTTGTTATTTTTTATTTAATAAGTACGTGAATACAGAAATGTTTAGTAATCTATACATAATTCGAGACAGCCTACTAGTCCAGTGCTGAACTTGGACCTCCCCCATAGCAATCTATGGGGATAGTTGCCATAGTTGCCACGCTTGACAAGTGGGTTGGCAACCGCAGTTTTTTATTTTTAGTCGTTATTAGGAAGACGCTGCTGCCCATCTCCTGATTTGTTTCCCTCTGTCGCCTCTTACGACACCCACGGGATGATATTGTGAAGGGGATATTCTCACGAAATTTATTAGAATAACTTTTTTTATTACTATAATCATTTTTATGGCAATAATTTTACCTGATGTCAAATCGTGTGCGTAAAATCCTAATGTGGGACATAGGTGTTTACCGAAATTTAATAAGGCATATATATTTTCAGGCCTTTTACGCTCTAGTGTATTTTAAATCTGTAGAATTATTCCTTAAGAAGAGAAAAAAAAAAGTTTCGTTTTCAATTATGTGGGGGACAGAGAATACGGTCTTCCATTTGACATGATCCTGATACACCGTTCTCACTTCTTTCATATTCATATATGTTTCTCGCTTAAGGGTAATCATACCTTGAACCATTTTCAATGTATCGCCGATTTGGTCGAAAACCTTCTATTTAGTGCGTCCAATGCCGATTCTGCCAAAAATTGCGGCATACATTTACTTTGTGAGTCTCTTCTCATTCATTCTTTCTACGTGTGCAAACCACTAAAGCTTTCCATTTTAAATTCTGGTCCATGCATCCATCACACAATATCTCCCCCTATCATGTGCAGTTAGTGAAAACCATTTCCTATCAACCACATTTCTACTATAATTATTTATTCTCAAGCTTCTTTTGCCACAACTAACTCACTACTACGATTATACATTAAGGTATCATTGACTGCCTCGTTAGTTTAGTGGCCGTAATCGCGATTGCTTATCATGAAGGTAGGGCCAAAATTATTTATTGAGTTTCTCTGTCAAGAAATGCTCATTAGAAGTCCAGAGTCGGGAAGTTGGCGATATTGCACCCTCGTGACTTGGAAATCACCTTAAGCCGTTGTTTCTGCACCTAATCTCTTTTCCATCGTGTCCGATTACCGTCCTATAGGACTATAAGTATAAGGAAATAGAGAGTGCTTCTGTTTTTGTCTATAGACTTGGACACTATAACCCTGCACAGATGACTAGTCTACGTTACAACTGGCCGCTGTGATCGAAATTCGGTCTGGGGGATATTATTAATATTATTATTTAAGGTAGAGTCTAACACACTATTGTGATTTTCCATACGTGTCTTGCGTCTACACAATAAAAGTAAAAATAAATAAATTGGGAAGTGAGATCCGATATATTGAACTAGTATTATGATTTCCTAACGTCTTTTTGTCGAGGAAAATTACTTGTCAACTATATAAGCATTGTGTTGGTCACAAAACTAAACATTTACACGTACATAGCATATCTTGCTTTTTCTGCAAAATGTTGAAAGGGATTTGTAAAACTTTGGAAAATCCACATCATCCTTTATTAGGCCCGACGCTTTTTGGACTAGAAAAATGGGGAATGTGGCAACCAAAGAAGGGAATAATTAGTACTGTTTACAATTTGATCCATCTCTTTGCAATACTATTCGTGTTGAGTCAGTACGTCGAATTGTGGATCATTAGATCAAATCTCGAATTGGCCCTAAAAAACTTGTCTATATCAATGCTAAGTACGGTGTGTGTGGTGAAAGCTAGCACTTTCGTGTTTTGGCAAAAGCAATGGAAGAGTGTTATTGAATATGTATCAACATTAGAAAGGGCTCAATTAAAGAAAAATGATAAAATAACTAACAATATTTTAAAAGATTATACTAGATATTCAAGAAAAGTTACTTACTTTTATTGGTGTCTTGTTGCAGCTACAGTGTTCGCTGTTATTTTAGCTCCATTAACTAGTTACATTTCTTCGCCTATCTTGCAAGAGTTAATAAGAAACGGGACAGTGGCTTATCCAGAAATAATGAGCTCTTGGTTACCATTTGATAAAACAAAAGGTCTAGGGTACTGGGCACAGGTCATAGAACAGTCCTTAATTTGTTTTTACGGTGGCGGTATTGTAGCAAATTATGACTCAAATGCTGTGGTACTAATGACGTTCTTCGCTGGTCAAATGAAGTTGTTGAAAGCAAATTGTGAAAGGTTGTTTGAAGAAAATAATAGGCATGTTAATTTTCAAGTATATGTGGATAGAATTCGAGAATGTCACCATCACCATATCAATTTGGTCAAGTATGTTCCAGCTTATTTTATTAATCTATAGTTTTGAAAATTATAATCTATAATTTTGTTATTTTATTTAAAATTGTTGCAGCAGTTGACCTGTGATTATTTGTTCCCATGATTAGCTGACAGCAAATATAACATAGCATTAAATACGATTTAACATTTTTTACTTCTAATTTCCTTTTTCAGATACGCCACAATTCTAAACTCGCTGATGTCACCAGTAATGTTTTTATATGTCATCATCTGCTCGCTCATGATTTGCTCTAGTGCTGTGCAACTCACCACGGTAAGAGAATCTTCTTAGTAAGCAAAAAATCAAAAGGATTTTATGAAACGAGTTCAAAGAAAGAGATGGTTATATCATATAGAACCGATTTAAATGTGGATTATTTTTTTTTTAAATAGCTTATACTTCAGGGCTGGTCCCACATAAATTTATTTTAGTTATTTATTTATTTAAACTTTGTTACACAAAAAATTACAAAGGCGGACTTAACGCCTTAAGGCGTTCTCTACCAGTCAACCTATAAATAAGCAGAGAACACTAGTTTGGAGGTGTAATATGATTTGTAAGAGAAAGAAAAGGATTAACAATATAATAGATTAAAATTCCTACTAGAATGGTGGAAAAATACCTAAGGATTAAAATTTTTAATGTGACTATTTAATCGACTTTTAAATTATTTACCTTGAACTTGTGATATTCCTTAATTCACACGAATGGAGAAAAAAATATAAAACATAAAAGCAGTTTTAAAAAATAATTACCTGCCTCTAAGTTTTTAAAGTCGGTTCATCAATACGCATGTCTTAGCATGGAATTCAAAGGCTTATGTATATATTTTTAAATTGGGCTTTTACTTTTTACTGAAAAAAATATTTTATTTTATCTTTTACTTTTTTTTAAAAAAATTAAATTTTAGAGGCCTTGTTTCCTATTATATAGTCGTCTAAATTAATGGGCAATTGAAAATTATTTTGTATATCAAACACAGATCGCACAAGTTGGTATTAAGGAAAAGCTTAATCAGTGAGATTGTTACGTTTCTGCGCTAGGTAACGTTTCTATAGCATGCATTTCGGAGAATGTGCACAGCAATAATAATAATAATAATAATAATAATACCGAGCAAGTATACGATATACAAGACACTAACATCCATTTTGAGCGCGAGAATCACTCGTCATCTGAGCTCAAATCAGGTGATGTCACGCGCTCAATATGTACGTCGGCTCAGTGGTCGTGGAACCAAAGAATCACTCCTCATTGACGCGGTCATTGGCTAGGTGGTTAAACGCAACCATCGGAAACTCTCCGCCGCCTGGATAGACTACAAAATGCATTTGATTCGGTGCCTCTTACATGGCTGAAAAGGGTCCTCGAGCTGTACAAGGCTGACTGTACAGTTAGAGACTTCCTCTGGCAGTGTATGGGACAGTGGAATATGAGCCTTTGTCATCTAGGTGAGCGGATGATGGCTGCGGAGAACCACAAGGATAAGAAGGCGATTGTCTGAGTCCAATCTGGTTTTTCCTCTCTCTGAACCCTCTTAGTACCTTACTGGAGGGTTCCGGGAGGGGATTTCAGCTTCGGAAAGAAAGTACAAAAGTTTTAATATTCAATATGGAAGATCTCAAGTTATTCCCCTCCAGTCGCTTCCATCTTATGGAATTGCTAAATATCACTTGTGATAAGTTGGACATGAAATAGTCAGTTTGCGATGTGTTTTATGCACGCTTGACAAAAGTGCTCAACAGTCTTAGGTCGGGAGTGAATAAGACACACGCATATAACGGTTGGGGCACGCCTGTCCGCGTATATACCTTCGGCATTCTCAGGTGGTCTCAGACCGAACTGAATGATCTGGATAGAAAAGTCCGCACTATTATAACGTCCCACATGATGCATCACCCGAGATCATCAGTAATGAAGCTGTACTTGCCGCGGAAACATGATGGACGCGGCTTTTTGAGCGCTCTCACCATACATAATCGCGAAGTGTGCAGCCTCCGTAATTACTTTCTGAGATCAGATGACTCATTTTACAGGGACGTCATTCCGTGTGATAAAGGGCTTACTCCTCTATCCTTAGCCAACGAGCAATGGCAAGACCCAGCAGTACAGAGCATTTCCGACCGGGAGACCGTATGGAAGGAGAAGGAGCTCCACGGGAGGTTCTACAAGGCTCTACACGAGCCTTTCGTAGACACAGTCGCCTCCTTCCACTGGCTACGTTTCGGTGACCTCTTTGGGGAAACCGAGGGTTTTGTCTGTGCGATACAGGACCAGGTTATTAAGACCAACAGTTATCGGAAATACATCCTAAAGGATGGCGCCGTCGACATCTGTCGAGCTTGTCGCCATCCCAGTCACTCACTTAGGCATGTCACCTCCGGTTGTTCGGCGCTTTCTAACTTTGAGTATTTGCACAGACACAACCTAGTATCCTAGGATTCTACACCAGGAGCTCGCTCCGAAATATGGTCTCTTGGATCTGAAACTGCCATATTATAAGTACTTGCTGGAAGCCGTGCTCGAAAATGACCGCGCCAGGCTCTACTGGGACCGGGTCATCATCACAGATAGGACAATTATTGCGAATAATCCTGATATAGTGCTCATGGACCTGTCACAGTCAAGGATATTTTTGGTCGGCATTACCAATCCTTATGACGAGAACGTCGTGAAAGCCGAAATAGATAAGCTGTCAAAATATCTGAACCTGGCTCACGAGGTGACCGACATGTGGGGTTGTCCGCGGACCAAAATTATTCCTGTGGTCGTTTCTGCGGACGGGTTAATTCCAGTCAGCCTCTCGGGTCATCTGAGGCACTGGGATTCCGTGACGGACCGCTCCAAGCTCAAATGCAGAAGGCGGTGCTTCTCGATACCGCCCGCATCGTCCGCCGGTTTCTTTCTCTTTCCCGCTAACCCTCGACCGTTTGATCCCCCTGTTGAGGGCTTCCATCTGGTTGGATTTTTTATATATTTATGCATTTTTTATGTATTTATTTAAATTTATTGGTATTTATGTATGTTTATCATTTTCATTTACAATTATATATTTATACTGCCCAACCAGATGAGAAAACTTTATAGATACCCCACTATAATAATAACAAAACATCTGGACCTGGCTAACGAGGTGACCGACATGTGGGGTGGAATGCCGACCGAAATTATACCTGTAGTCGTTTCTTCGAACGGGTTAATCCAAGTCAGCCTCTAGGGTCATCTGAGGCGACTGGGACTCCGGTCCGTGACGGACCGCTTCAAGTTCAAATGAATAAGGCGGTGCGCCTCGATACCGCCTGCATTGTCCGCCGGTTTCTTTCTCTTTCCCCCTAACCCTCGGCCGTTTGGTCTCCCCTGCCGAGGGCTTCCATCTGGTTGGGTTTTTATTTATTTATGTATTTTTATGTATTTATTTTATTTTATAGATATTTATGTATATTTATCATTTTCTTTTACAATTCAATATTTATGTAGCCAAAAAAGAAAAAAAGAAGATTATACATAGTTAAGGCCCCTGGCGGGTATAGGCCTCTTCCAACAGTTTCCAGGTTTTTCTTGTCTTTGATTTTTTTTCCAGTCATTTCCAGCTTATTTTTTGATCTCATCTACCCAGCGTTCCTTAGGACGGCCTTTAGCTCTATTGTCACTTGGACATGCTTAAATTGTAGCCAAATGCATCCATTTTTCATTGCACAGTCGTGCTTTGTGGCCAGCCCACTTCCATTTGAGCTTTCTCATATGTTGTAGAGCATCTATCACGTTGTTTTTTCTTCTTATGTCTTCTGATTTTATTTTATCTTTCAGCCTAATGTTCATGATCCTTTCCAAGTGCTCCTTTCCATAGCATGCTTCGTCTTTGGTATTGTCTGTCGCATTTTTGTTGTAGATCCAGGTTAATGATCCGTATGAAAAGCAGGGTAGTAATCCTCCGAAACTGAAAAAGAAAGTCATGGATGGATGACTTTCTTTTTCAGTTTCGGAGGTAGATTAGACTTCAATATTTATTTAGGCTTGAGAACTTTCTCCATGTCATGTTTATTCTCCTGTTAATCTCGTCTTTGTTTCTAGAATTAAGAATTGTGGTGGATTTCCTTAGGTATACGTAGCTCTATACGTATTCTATCGTTAGTCATTACCTTAGTTTTTGTTGTGTTTAGTTATAGTCCTATTCTATTACTTATTGTGCATAGTTCTGATATCATTTTTCTAATTGTTTCGATGATCTCGAGAAGAGTACTATATCATCAGGAATCTAAGGTTACTCAATTTTTTTTCCATTTATATTGATACTTTTATGTTGCCAATCTAGGTTTTTAATTATATACTGTAAGACAAATATAAAAATTGTGTGGCATATGTGTGCGCAGGAATTAAAATGCCTTAATTTCTCTATCTCCTTTCCAACATCAGTTAACCAGGCGGTCGGTGGGTTTTCACCCCTTTATTATCGATATTACACGCATAAGAGCCAAACGGTTTGCTTCGTCTTTTGTAATGCGTACAGTAAAGGAATGAAATAATTTGCAAGACAGAAGTTTTTTCCGTCCGAATACAATCAGCCGTCTTTCAGGGAAGAGTGAATGGATTTTGTTCCGCTAAGGCAGTGCGATTTAATATCTAGGGCTTCATCACTACTTACCACCTGGTGAGATTGTGATCAAGCACTGGCTTATTATAAGTAAAAAAAACACGGTGTGATAAGTATAAACAAAAACCTATATCTGGCAATGAATTATAAGAAAAAGAAAGGAAAATTATAATCTCTGAAATCCCTATGAAGAAATTCAAAATTATAAAGCGACTTTGGAGAAAGCTTTTATCGAAGTGTCTCGGTATGGTTTATGAATGCGCTACAAGGATATCCGTTTTACTTCCGGGCGGAGAATGTATTATTGCATTACGAAACGGCAATAGACTAAAATGGCCTTCAACAAATGTTTGTGAATTGAAGAAATAAAGATAAATATTTCATTACATTCATTTATTCAAAGCGAAAGACATTTATTCCAAAGCCTTTCCCTTCGATTGGAATAACTAACCACAGTTGCCACCCAGGCTTGTACACTGCAGTTTTTGATTTTCAAGTTTTTATCAGGTAGACTCTGCTACCCATCTCCTGGTTTCTCTATATTGCCTCTTAGGATACCAACAAGACGATATGGGGTAGACCATGTAGTGGTAGATTTTCTATCACTACATGGTCAGATTTACCACATGGTTTTATTTCATTTAATTATTTCCTATTTCAGGATAGCACCACAAGAATGCATCAAATTTGGATAGCGGAATACTTATTAGCTTTAATAGCTCAACTTTTTCTTTATTGCTGGCACAGTAATGAAGTTTCACTTATGGTAATATTGTTTCTTGAAACTTATGCATACTAAATGTAATAGAGCTTTGAGCCATACTATGGCAGCAAGACAAACGGGTCGGCTTGACCGGAGAAGTACCACGTTAACAATACTTATATACAACAATATTAATGATACTAATATTATCCAGAACGAATTTCGGTCACAGCGGCCGGCCTCAACGGAGATTAGCCATCGGCGCAGGACAGGATTATAATGCCCAAGTGTATGCCCAAGCACAGGTGCACTTTCTATTTCCTTAATCTCAAAGTCCGATGGGACGGTAAACCGACACGAACGGAGGGAGATCAGGTGCAGGTACAACGGCTTTACGTGCTTTCCAAAGCATGGGTATGAGACACAGTCACGCACGCACGTACGCATACACGCACGCACGCACGCACACACGCACACACACACACATTCCTAGAATAAACTAGCTGTTGTTTTATGCATTAATTTATGCTTAAATTTTAGCAAACTTTCAACTTAAACGGAGTCTTATGTATTTATCGGTGTAAACGGTGTCAGTCAATGCTCTTGTTTCCTGCGATACAAGCCTAGAGTTTAGTGTAAAAACCAGTGTATAGTTTTATTATGTAATATATCTTTGGTTAAATAAATATATTTTCTATTTTCATATAGCTTTGGTTTAGATATATAAATATCAGTGTCGAAGTATATCAATATCACTTGACATAGTGAGGGGGTGAAAGTAACAAATTTAAGCCAAGATAAATATTCGATAGACACTGTAATTATATTTTCCTCCAGACCGAATTTCGATCACGGCTTCCAATCTCAGCGGAAGCTAGTCAAGTGTGTGCAGCATGCACAGGGCTCACTTTCTATCTCTTCACTCGCATAGGCTGATGATATTTCTAATTTCTACCCGACACGACTGGAGAGAGATCACGCGCAGAACCATCAAAGTTACGTGTTTCCAAAACAAGAGGTGAAACGCTGCCAGTTTCCTACCTCAGGGATGCTACGGAGAATTTCTCGACAGAAAATCCCAATCAATGATTTTAGCCCTACGTATTATAATACAGTAAAGTGGTTGTGTACAAATATCCACAGCCCAATATCATTAAGTGGGTGTCGTAAGACTCCAGAGGGGAAACAAACCAAGAGATAGGCAGCAGTGTCTTCCTAACAACATCTAAAAAAAACTGCGTCTTCCTTAAGAGGTAAGTTATGAGGGGCCTCTATTTAGCAGTGGACTTTCATGCTGATGATGATGATGATAATTATAATACAACTTCATTGTGATATATCCAGCAATAGATATACGTGCTGCAGCTATTAGTACTATAGTTGTAGCACGAATGGGTCGGCACGACCTGTCAAGGACCACGCTCTCACAGAATATCGATCGAATCGAATAATCGAGTGACGTTGCGGATGTCAGTGCTACTAGAAGTAAGCAAAGCTTGTCGCGAAATAAAAATTAATATCTACGTCTAAAGTTGTGATATCGATGTTTTGAAACATTTTTTTCTGGACTTTAAAAACTGGTGCATATGTTAATAAATTAATTATTTGTGTGTGCTTAAGGATTGTGGTGAAAGAAAATTGAAATAAAACATCTAAAAGTGAAATATAAGAGGTACCTTTATTAATAACTTTAATGTACATCGTCTATTTACCCTCGAACTACAAAGTGTCAATTACAATATATAGTCGGCGACACCTAGTGATAATTATCTGCATCATTACATTGCAATTAACTTAAACTAACGCGATGAAGTGCAGTGCGTGCGGAAAGTTTATGGCGGCGGCAGAGGGCGTTACGTGTCCTAAATGCGATAGAAAATCACACAGGGCCTGCGTTAAAGTTCCTGAAGGTGTGCAGGTCCAACCTACTTGGTTGTGTCCGGACTGTAAAATACGGACGCCCCGAAAGTCAGATCAGAATACGCCTGTGCGAGGACTTAATTCCGAGTATATTATCAAGCAAGGCGAAGAGAAACCCCAAAGCCCTGTGGCGCAAGGTTTCAAAGAGTCGGAACTAGCTCTTGAACTACGTAGATTTAGAGAAGAACTGCGAGAAACCAGGGAAGAATTTAGATCTTTCCGACAGGAGATGTTTGATTTGCGTAATTCCCTAAAATCGTGTGAAGAACGCCTAGATACATTAGAAAACAAATACACCCGTCTTGAAGAACAACAACCCTAATTGAGTCCAAAAATGTCTGCGGCAAAATTCAGGATCTCGAGACGATTATTGCGGACTTAAGAGCAGATTTAAATGATCGAGACCAAGAGCTTCTGTACAATGATATCGAAGTCGCAGGCATTCCAGAAGAGGGCGCAGAAAATGTTCTACACATTGTGACTGCGTGCGCTACTAAGCTGGGCGTAACCCTAGAAGAGCGCGATATAGTGAGTTGTGTGCGAGTCGGTCTTATGCGCGACGAGCAAAGTAGGCTAGCGAAGCCCCGTGCTGCGGGCCGCGCGCGTGCGCCGCTCCTTAACTACCGAAGGTCTGGGTCTCCGCTCCGAAAATACACGAGCCTTCTATATAAATGAACGGCTTACTAAATTGAACCGCAATGTATTTTTTAGAACTAAGGAATTCGCTCGGCGATTTGATTGGCGCTACGTATGGTCAAAAGAGGGAAAAATTTATACTCGTCGAGAACACGGAACAACGTCTTATCGCATAAAAAGTGAAGTAGATCTCGAGAGGGTTTTTGGAACAAATTCAGTTGGGGCTATCGGAAGCAATGGAAAAAAAATATAAAAGTAATAATTATCTGAATTTTTTAAATATTACCTTGTTCTGCTATTGCTCATTTTTATGTAAGTCGTTAATAATTGTGTTTGTATTTTTATTTAAGAACTATTTTAGGATTCTATTTCTGTCAAATGAAATATACTATGCCTATACTCGTATGTGGAATAATAATATATCCTGGTTAGTTCTGGCACAAATTTCTAATATCAATGTATTGAAAAGACTCACTAGCGTTTTGTCTTTAAGTTCTGCAATACATACATACAATAATTACTATACGAGTACATTAAGGTACAAGAAAATTTACTCAATGAATAACTATTTAAAAATTTGTGGTATCCCGATAAACATTATTTATTCTATCAAATCACATAAAATTAATTTTGTCTGTACAAGAAGCAAGCTAAAGTTAAATTTTGCGTCGGAACCTATTATGTCAAATAAATATGTATATCTAAAATTCGTTTATGGCTTCTAAAAGTAACGTAAATTTGGTCTTTTAAATGCAGGGTCCCTTGGAACGCGGCACGATGAATTTATTGTCACAATGCAACGGCATAGTGTCGATATCATGGCCATCAATGAGACGTGGCTGCGGGAGGGCGAAGAGGGGCGCGCGGCCTCGGTGCCCGGCTACCGGCTGCGGCACGCGCCGCGTCCGCCCGACGCACAGAATACTTTACGCCCGACGTGCGCTCGCGCGGCGGCGGCGTCGGCTTCTATGTGAAGCGAGGCGTCTGTGTTCGCGTGCTGTCCCACCCCCCGGCCCCGCTAGTAGAACAAATGTGGATCTCGACCTCTAGCGGCGGAAAGCAACTCGTTATCGGTACCGCGTATAGACCGCCGTGGCTGAATGTCGATACATTCATAGACGCGCTTACCGTTACTATGGGGACTTTTTCATGGAGCCAAAACTTACTTCTTCTCGGTGATTTTAATATTAATATGTTAAATATGACGCATAATACCACTATAAAGTTAAATAATTTTCTTACTTGTTTCAAATTAAAACAGCATCTAACTAAGCCAACCCACTTTACGGAATATAGCGAGACTTTAATTGACGTAATATCTACCGACATAAAAGTAAACACAGTTACTGTAGAACTTATACGTGAATTAAGTAGTCATGCTTTTATTACATGTCAAATTGATATGAGTAAAAAAAAGCCGGCACCAGTAACAATAATGAGTAGGAGAATCTCTGACATAGACGAGGGAGACTTTCATAAGGACCTTACATCAATAAATTGGAAAGAAATTGAGAGTATCGCGGATGTAAATAATCAGGTAGTGCTATTTAACACAGCCATACTTACACTATTCGAAATTCACGCGCCACTTAGAAAAAAAAACGATTAAACATCAGCAATTCCCGTGGCTAACCTTTAATATAAAATTGATGATGAAAAAACGAGATGACGCATACATTAAAATGAGAAAAAGTAAAAACGACATACATATTAAATACTATAAAGATCTAAAAATCTGCGTCAATAAAGCAATATATACAGAAAAACAAGCCTGTTATAGATCGCAGTGGACTGTATTATTGAGGGGGTAGGGGTGTACGCTAGGGGGCAACTGCTCAAAGAAAAGATGGTACTGTCGAACTATACTGTATTCTAACTATTTACAAAATGTGGCACTATTAATTAAACTATTACACAGAGGCGAGTCTTCTTGATGGAGTCTTCTTGAGTCTTGATTTTCTTGATTTTCTTGCTGTCTTCTTCTCGTCGAGTGCCGCTTCCGAAATGAACAGCTCACCGTCCGAGACGCCCTTCTTATATCTCGCCGGAGAGCGTCTCGGGTCGTGCGTAGCGTCGTCCGCGATGCCGCGCGCTCATTGGTCGGCGACATCGCGTGATCTGCTGCTGGTGTGCGGGGAGCGCGGGGCGCACCGGGGTGTGAAGGGGCGACGGGGCGGCGGCCTCCTCGCTGTCCGCTACATCCTCCCCCCGGCGTAGCCTGCGAGCCTAAGCTTCTTTCGGGAGGACGGCGATCTTCCCGACGGGCCGCCGCAGCACTCCTCCCTTGGTCCGGACCTCGACGTTTCGCACCACGCCGTCTGGTCCAGGAAACGTCTTCGTTACGATGCCCCGCGGCCACACATTCCTGGGTAGGTTGCCGTCCGCAACCACGACGAGCTCCTCTTCCTGTACTTGGCGCTGCTGAGCATCTCTGGAGTCCCCGCGCGCGACCAGCGTCGGCAGGTACTCCTTCACCCAGCGCCTCCAGTATTCGTCGGCGAGCCCCT